AAAATTAAAATGTCTTAAAATATAAAATATTAAATTTATTTGTAAAATTATTTAAGTAGTTTTAACAAATTTTGTAGCATTTAAATTTTTTATTATCATTTTTAATATTTTAATTGTTAAAATATTTTAATTTTTCAATGATATTTTACTTTTAATAAATTACTCGTAATTACTCAATATAAGGAATAAATATGGGATGGATACCGCAAATAAAGAAACAGCTTTTTTTTTTTTTTTCTTTTTTTGGTAGAAAATGGATCATTGACCGTTCAAGCCACGTCATACGTTTTAATTTTTTAAAAAATCGCCAACAACCAGTGAAAATTCAAAGACAAAAAACATTTTAACACGTGTCAATAACATTTTGCATAGATATTTTTTCACATCCTGAAATTGTGGGACCCATACCAATTTTCTCGCACACAGATCCATTTTCTTCCCCTGGCGCGGGATATTGGATACAGTTTCCATGTTTATAAAAACCTTCCTTTTCCAGGAATTGGCTGCCAAACCAGCGGCAACATTTCCAGAAATGGCGAGGGGCCATCGCCGCAAGGTTTTCTTTATAATCCCCTCTTCCCTGTTCCATTCCCCATCCATTTTAAAATCAAGAGTTTTTCAGAGTACGGTTAAGATAATCATACCATGGCAGCCACATCATCTTCCCTGGCAGCACCGTCCTCTACTGTTGAGACTTGCCCCATTTGTTGGGATGAACTTTCTACCATCTGTGGAAGAACCCTGGTAACCCTCCAATGCTCTCACAAGTTCCACCTCGGTGAGTTTCTATGTTACCTGCAGCACCTTTTTATATTAGGCGAGTGAGAGTTGTCATATCAAGTGTATATTTTTCTTATTTATTAACAAGATTTCGCAATCACTGAATTAATGTTAAAAAAATTAATTTCGTGATATCCCTAGTATGATTTTTACGTCATGTGTATTTGTTGATTCCTTGTGTGAATTCTATGATTGATATGATTCTGGCAGTCAATACAATATTGTTTTTCTATGCATCCGTTTCATATTTCGTTTTTTCCTTATCAGACTGCATTGGTTCGACCTTTAATTCTTTTGGTGAAATGCGATGCCCCTTATGTCGAGCCACTGAAAATGGCACTTGGGTTATCCCTCAAGAAAGAGCAGATCAAGCAGCTTCCGAGCCTGAGGAAGATGATTCTGACGCTGTAAGTTGTGTTTTTATCGAATTGGCTTACTTCAAATAATGTTGTGATTCAATTAATTCAAATGTATGTTAAAAAGGAACATATATTTTCCTTAGATTATAGGGATCCTAAACCCTTTGAAATTTGATTGTAAAGTTCTTTAGTGTAATTTTTCCTCTGTTTCCTGACATTCTTTTCACTCAAGTCCATCAGATTGGGATTTAGAAAGTTGCCTTGAAACATAGTAGTGCTAGAAACACTTCTAAATTCGAGGAGGAGTAACGCTGACTCCCGTCTTAAAAGTTAACATAAGAACGCACTTTTGCTCCTGGAACATTTGTTAGGTTTACATTAATTCCATAGCTTGATTTAGTTATTATTTAATTGCAATTTGGTTTTTGTTTCATGCTTGGTTAGTTGGTTTTATGTTTTTGATGATTGGTTATTGCATATTCTGATATCATTAATTGTGGTTGTTTGCAGGATGAATTTGAATTCGATGAATGGGATCTGTTTCCTGTTCAAGAAGGGTAAGCAAGCCTTCGGTTTGAATTCTCTTGTTATCTTTAATATGATCCATGGTTGAAATATTGTTAAGTATTAAAATTTTCGGTGTTTTAAATTTTGTGCCTCTCGAATTTGAGTGTTTTAATTGCTGTTCAAGTATATTTACATTCTAATTTGAGCTTTATTGAATTTCAACGCTTAGATGTTGATTATTATGTAAGCTCTAGGGCTTCATTAGTCCTGTATGTGCTTTATATGGAATTAATAGGTATTGTCCTCCATGCTCTTTTCATTGTGACAATTTTGAGGCAATAGTTGCATAAGAAACATAGTTGAAAACATTTTTAGTGAGATATTGTAAAGCCACTTCCTTGCTTTTGGATAAGTTGAATTAAAACCCAGTCATCAGATAGCGTATTGATGTCTCATTCATACTTTACAGGTTGATGGAACCAACAAGAGCCCTGAGTAAGTCATCTGTTGTTTTTTTTTTCTCTGGTTTGTATTGGTTATGAGGAAATTGAGAGATTATTTTTCGAAATACTAACGTTTGTTAATGATGCACAGTTTATCAAGCGCTTTCACGACCTGCTGTCTTGGCTATTGAGGATGGAACAGTTTATCATCAGGTCTCTGCTTTTGATATCATCCATCGATTAAATTGTGAATGGAATCAACCACCGCTGCAGGCATTCAATTCAATGTTCAATTATTTCGCAACTGCAAATAATACGACCAGAGTTGTATCTTCAACCCCGAGATCATCTTCTGGCCTTTCTGAGCGCAATGTGGATATTGATTCATTTATTGAGCCGGTTATTCTTGAGCATGGGTAAGCTTTTTAATAAACTTTGAAATCTGAACAACTTATTAAAAAGTTTCAGCCACACAAGCATTATGATTTCCTAATTGATCTTATTGACACTTCAATTTGTTTATCTTGCAGTCGCAGCAATGGGCCTACACATTACAATTTTAGCTGGATGTGCCCGCCTAACAATTCACCATCTCCAGGCGTGCGTGCAATGATGTCTAGCCAGAGTGAATCGAATGGCTTACCTGGGAGGGTTCCTTCCGGTAATGCAGAACTGCAATCTGAGCAAGCTCAGTTTAACGTGCCTCTGAATGCTCCAGCCAATAGGCAGCACCAAGAGTTGCCTTTGATTGTTCCAAGTGAAACCAATAACGTTTCACCTTCAGAGAATTCCCCGGATAACATTGACCCTCCTCTGAAAGAGTAAGATTTCTGCCATTTTTGACTTCAATGGAGATCGGTCTTTTGTGAGGGGAATGTATGTTGGGGTATGGTGGGTTTGAAAGAGAACAAGATGGAAACTCTACCTTAGGAAATGATTTGTGGGTAGAAGTTTCCCTTTCAAACCCATAATTTCAATTATAGTTTTAATCATGAGCCATATACTTAGGGGCAAAGATCTAAGTAGGCTAGTATTAATCTTGAGTTGTAGATCTTTAGGTGGAATAAATGAGAAGTGATGTCTCTCATTGTACAACTCAAAATAAAAAATAAAAAATAAAAAAAGGCTCAGAGTATTGATTTATTTGTAATGAATTCTCAATTCTCATTAATTCAAGAAATTTAAGTGAAAACATGCAGTGACTTTTTTATGATGCTCATAAAGTCTTTGCATATTTATATATATTTGCCAAAATGCTCAGGTTGTATTATAAGTCTATTTTTTGGTGTCTTTGATTTATAAGAATGTATTATCAAATATATTCTTTTTCCTATTTTGGCAAGGTTAATCTTCTCTCCTGAATATAGAAAATTACCTCCTAAATTTTAAAATGAAGTTGTTACTAGTAAAAAGAACAAATCTCCCCTGTTCCTGTTCTTCTAATCTCTCCTGAAATGACCATTGTAATTTCTCTTAAATGAAATGTTGTCTCCAGTATGGTAATAGTTACTCGTACTTTGGCTTGTTGGTTCAAACACTGACTTTGTTGCATAACCCTGCAGACCTTCTGGATATTTTCAGTTAAAAGTGTGACTGCATTCTGTTCTACGTTTTAATAACAGATAATGAAATCGAGTATATTCAAGAAGAATGTAGAAACTTGTTTTTGAAATTGATGAAAAGTTGACTGTTTGTCAAAATCGCCTGTAGGATTGTAAGAGATAGCATCTTCTCTACAATCCTTGGACCCATATTTTCCTGCTTTGACCTCTTGCTGACGCTCATAAACACCATCTACATTGGCTGAAGCTGCCTGAGAAAATGTTAATGAAGCATCCTTATTACTTGGTGCCAATGTATTTACAACCTCATCTTTTTTAGCATTCCCGCCTCTGGATAGACTTTTGACCCTGATCATTTAGTTGACAAGCATAATATTGGTAAACTATGTACGACTTTTTTAGTAGCTCAAAATAGGAAACAAGCACAAATACCTATCAGCATGTCTGAGCGTAGTGTATGTTCACACGAACATTAATTGACAAAGACTGTGCTAATTGGTCCAAGAGTAAAAACGCCGTGACCATTAGAGCCTGTGAATATTAATAATCATTGGATTTTTTTAATATGCACTCTTAGGTAAAGGATAAGGGCACTTTTTTGTAATAAATTTATATAGAGAAATAAAAAAAATAAATATTAATTTTAGAATCAACACATGAATAAATTTAATTAGATAATTAATAAATTAAATATTATTTTTTATTTTTTCAAGACTTTTTAACTTAAACTTTTAAGATATATGTTAGAAAAACTCATAATTATTTTAAAAATTTGTGTGCAATGTATTTAATTAGATTTTTTTTTTAAATATTGATATGACATTGGTTTTATCTACTTTTATCTATTATTATTGTTGTTTGTGCTAACTATAATAGTGTATAAGTACAATTAATGATTTTATTTAATTTAATGAATGATATTTTTTTAATAATAATAATTATTATTATTATTATTTTCTTGATTAGACAAAATTACTTACTCTTAATTTCAAATTATTATACCAAATAGTCACT